TGGAACAGTGCGGCAAGCGCGGGAACCACAGCTAATAGCACCATTACTGCCATTATCACATTACGTTATTATTATTCATCAGAATCAGACAAAGCATATTAACCCATTTAATTGAACCAAGAGCTTAAGGTCCCAGTGACCGTGGAAAGTGCTTAGCAAACCCTCCCAGACATCACGGCCATAAAGCACTGGCCGCTCTGCCGCTCGCCAAGCTGTGGCCTCTCTGGGCACTTTCCCGGGCACACTGGGGTGATGCTCATTCCCACTCGACTGCAGCCTTCCAGGCACGCACCTCTCTCCCTGTGTGTAAACCCCATCTAACCAAGGAAGCATTTACACAAAAGACACACACACACCAAGAACCCCTATTCTACCCCCCAAGCTGGAACCCTATTGAGTCACCAAGGCTGGTACTGAGTACTGACACCCACAATTTGTGGTGAGCACCTGGCTTCTCCTGAGCTTAGTACCCACTCCTCCAAAGCTTCTGACCTCCCACGTGCAGAGACCTGCACAGCCTCTTGGGGCAGCGGCCACAGCCCCTCTGATCTAGCCCCTGGGCTGGGCTCCTCCCTGGGACACAGCCGGGCCTCCCAGAGCCCAGGTTGCCTCCGTCGGATGGGCACTGGGTCTACCTGCTGCCCCTCAGTTTGCTGTCAGGCTTCGAAGAGACCCCGGGTGCAACCAGTACGTAGGTTCCCGGGTGGGCTGTTGCTTCACACAAACCTGTCCTTGATCATCGCACTGACCTCCTATCGCTGGAGACGCTCTGCGTGGGAAGCTCTTGCTTGGTCAAGGTGCCCGGCCCCTCCCTTCCGCATCCTCCAGTGCCCCAGCCGGCTGGCCCCACCAGGAAATATCTTGCTTTATTTCCTGGAGGACAATGGCACTTGGGGATGCTGCTCAGCCCCCAGATCCTCCCCGGGGTCAGGAGCTACCACTTGAGTGGGACGGCATCACCCTCCACCTTGAAGTCCATTTCCTGGGCCTGGGGCAGCAAGTAGGTCCTGCCTCGAGCTCAGCCCAGCCAACCTCTAGGGGGGTGACAGCCCGAGACAGGCAGACCAGAGGTTAAGAGAGTGGACTGTGGAGTTAGAGCCTGGGTTCAACTCACAGTGCTCCCACTTCCTGCCACAGAACCTCTCTTAGCCTCCGTTTCCTCATCTGCAAAATGGAAAAATGTGAAGACATGTGTATAGTGTTTGACAATGTTGTCTGTGACCTAATAGGCTCAAAATAACACCTGGGTCTCTCTGCCTACTTTCTCCCTCCCCCATCATGACTCGACAGCTGGCGTATCTCGGGGAGTCCATCACTGCCGTCCATGTGTTAGGGTTAGCCCTCCCCGACTGGCGCTGGGAGAAGAAATATCTATGGGTGGAGGAATTGAGGTACGATTGAAAGTCAGGTCTGAAGTCAAGGGTGAGAATGGGAAAGGAGAAATCAAGGCTAACTGGAGCAATCTGGGAAGGCTTCCTATTAGAGGGGGCCTGGGGCAGGGTGTTGAAAGATAGGATTAGAATGGGTGTGCCAGAGGGGAGGTGAGACTGAGCCAGGCAAAGGGGGGCCCTAGGAGGCATAGGGAGAGGAAGAAGGCAAATTAGGGGAGCCTTAAATGCCAGGTGAGGGGATAAAGCCACTCTCAGAGGCAGCAGGAATCAAATCTGCCAGGTTGCTGCCCTGCTTCCAACTGCCAAGCTGAGCACTCAAGGTCCACAGGATCTGGCTCCAATCTCCGTCCCCAGTTCCCCGCCCCACCCCACCCCACACTGCAGGCTGCAGCCACACCAACTTCCCAGCACTCCTTTCCCCTCTTTCCCGTGTGCCTGAGGTTCCTTCTGCCTGGAATGGCTTCCACCCACCACCCACCACACGCACACACACACGCACGCACGCACGCACCCTACTGCTTCTTCCCCCCTGGCCCCAGCTCCTCACTGCATAGGTCCATCCAGCCTTGCTGGTATCCGGTAGATTTCTCTGTTTCTCCCATTTCTCTCATTCTCCACCGAGGAGGAGAACCAGGAGCTGCCTTCCCTCCAGCTCTGCGGTCCTAGCTCTCCCGTTCGCCAGGGGCTGCATCACACCAAGCGGAAAGCACAATGAAACTAGAACCTGGGAAGGTGAGGCCTGTGGCGACCTGGTGGAGAGTGTGGGAAGAGTGGGCACTCGTGTGTTACTAAACCTCTGTCACATCTCGCTCCTTTCTCCCCGGTCCCCACCCCTGCGACTGGAATCAGCAACCATCACCTCTCCTTTCTGAGGAGCCCCGTTAGGAACTCTGCTTTCTTGAGCCTGTGGGACGATGGAGCAGGCCCAGGCAATTGGGGGCTAGGGACAGACACCAAAACAGGTGGGGATACCCTGAGCGCAAAGCCTGGCCTGGTGAAGGGCAGTGTGTTTTAGGAGGGCCCTGTCTCACCCACACCTGAAGAACACAGAGGGGTACAGTTCCTAGCATCGCAGGATTGGACTTCGAGGGGCTGCTGGAATACACAGGAGAGCATATTCTCAGACACTGCCTGGGTCTCCATAACACAGGCCCTGCTTCCTGCTGGTGGAATCAACAGCAATTTTTTAAAAAATCTGGTGACTTTCCAAACACCTCCAGATCCTTCTCACTGGGGGAGGGCCTGGGTGTGACCAGAAGACTCAGGCCCAGGTCCCCCCTGCAACCCACTGCAGCCCCCAAACCACCAGGCTGGCAGGATGGAGATGAGCGGACCACGTGGGGACAGCTCTGTGGGATCCCGGGGCCGGGGGTGGGGAGGAGGGTCCTGCTTCCCACCACCAGGCCTGGACAAGCAGAGCCACTCTGCCCCAAGCAAATCAACTGAAAGCCTGGGCCAAGCCTGTTTGCGTTGGTGAGAGCCCAAGTGGGAATTCCAATCTGCCAGTGTTTGCTCTACAGGCAAATAGAGCCAAACAGAAATGCTGCTTTGGGACTCTGCGCCAAATATCCGTCGGCCTGCCCTGCCAGCAGTGTTGGGCCAGCCCTCCGCATGTCACCGCTCAGTTCTCTGCTCTGTGACAGCCTTCTGCCTTTGCCCTTAAAAGCAGCTCGCCACAGCCCAGTGGCCCATGCTCATGACTTCCCTGCTGGGCCTGGGACCCAGACCTTCCCGCCAGGCCCGCCTTGCGTGTGCCCATTCTGCACCAGCTCCATCTGGGGACCCAGTCACCCCCACCCTCCGCAGGTGCCTGACCGCTGCTCCCTGCTCTTATTTCTTACTCTCTTGCCACCGCGACTCAGCCCCTGACTGGCATAGCCCACTCTGCATCTGGCCACTAAGCAGAGGCAGAGGTGACAGCCAGAAAGCACAAACCATAAGTTGACTACGTCTTTTTTTATTTGATCCTTATATCTGGTCAGTTTATCAGTCCATTTCTCAGAAGAAACAGCTGAGGTTTCCAAAGGCCAGACATATTGCCTAAGGTCACCAGATGAAGGAATCCAGGTCTCCTGACTCCAAAACCTCAGTGCTTTCTAACTTGCCTCCCTGAAGGAAGTTTCAAGATGCCTGGGGCGTTGCCCAGGGGGCCCAGTGAGAGCAGGTGGATGTGTTTTCATATCCCCCTGAACAAGGTTGGCACAGCCAGTGTGAGCACTTGGCAATGTCTGCTTTCCCTCCTTCCCCCTAAAAGGAGCCATTGCCTAAGGCCCGCCTGCCCTGTGCCCACCCACCAGAGCAGCCCTAGAAGCCACCGGCCCTCCTGGTCAGGCATTGAACGCATAGGCCCTGGCTTCTCCCTGCCCTCCTAGGGCACAGACACCCTGCTAACTTCAGGCCCACCTCCCCAGGCATTGGCACAAAGTTCTCTCCACCCCAGGGAGCAGCACAATCCCTGCCCCAGAGGGCTCCCCAGAGCATGGCCACAGGCTGCACTCTCCAGAGCTATCCTTGGCATTGTTCACACAATTCTCAATTTGGTCCTGAGAGTGTGAACATTTGCAAATGGAAATGACTTGAGTCTCTTAGAAGATGCGTGCTCTCTGCAAACAAATATTGTTACTTCCTCAGGGAAACTTTCTTCCAGTCTGACTGGACTTCTGTCTCCCCTACACAACCGTAGGCACCAGGGGACCAGGACTAGATTGTGGGCTCCTCTTCACAGAACCCCCAGTACCCAACCCAGCTCAGTAAGCAGTCAATGTATAAATGAAACCATGAATATAGGTTTCCACCTGCCCTTGTCATGTGGCCTCAGGGGTGCTGTCACCCTGGCCTAGAGCCCATGGGACCCTTTTGTCCAGTCACTCTCAACTCTACCTGATGTGTTTTCTGCTGACCTGACTCCCCAGTGTGGGTCTGGGATCTTTCTGCACTCAACTATGGGTGCTGGTCTCCCCACCAGGTCTACCCAGAACCCGCCCCTCCCTCTGTCTGAGATGTCACTGCCAAGGTCAGGCCTCAATGGGACCCTTTTGTCCAGTCACTCTCAACTCTACCTGATGTGTTTTCTGCTGACCTGACTCCCCAGTGTGGGTCTGGGATCTTTCTGCACTCAACTATGGGTGCTGGTCTCCCCACCAGGTCTACCCAGAACCCGCCCCTCCCTCTGTCTGAGATGTCACTGCCAAGGTGACAGGCCTCAAGAATACTCCCCAGCAGTGGAGCAGAGGGAAACAGCCAGACCTCTGGCCTGGCCCATTTGGGAACAGGGGGTACCAGCCACCCTGCCCTACCTGGGCCTTCGGATGGCTCCATCATGACCAGAGCAGTTGGTATCAGGCCCTGGGCAGCTCTGGCAGTCATGTGGCTAGGAATGTTGCAAAAAAATTGCACCTTTTTCGTGGGGGGTCCTAACCAACCATAAGAGGGGAAGCAGCCCAAAGTGCCTGTTGCTGGCCAGCCAGACCTGCCCACCCTGAGCTCCATGGCCGCACAACAGAGTCCTGCCAGTCACAGCTGCATGCCTGGTGCACGACCACTGCGAGCCTAGGAGAAAGCAGAGACGACTCCAAAGAGGGGTCCCCAGAGCAATGGGCCCACAGAGAGCTGCAGCTCTGCCAGGTGTGGGGACGGCCCGTAGGTGAGCCCAGAGAGGTTCCGAGGGAAGAGGCCACATCAGCTCAAAGGGGCCAGGCACTCGGGGCTGCTAGGCCTGGAGTCCTCAGGTGGCTTTCCCAGAAACACAGTGGGGGCTTGCTGCTGGGGTCAAGGAAAAGAGACCCAGTGTGGCCCTGGAAGTGGCCACTGGCCAGGATGAGTCTTGAGTCTCCTTCTCCCACTCCAGAGGCCTGGCTGTGTCATGAGGTAGATGGTGTCAGAGGATCAGCTTCATGGGCACCTGTCCAGACCCAACCCCCAAAGGTGGGGAAACGCCGTGATCACAGCAACCGTGAAGAGGTGGGTTCAGAAAGCCTGTGTTTAATGGGGGCTGCCACAGCCTGGGAGGCCCTCAGCGCCGGGTGCCCAGTCACACTACTTCTTGTCAACCTTTGCTGAGGAGTGGAACTGCTTCTTCTGGGGCAAGTCATCAAGCATCAGGTTCAGCACGTGCACAATCTCGTAGTACAGCTCTTGGAGCCTGCAAGGGGGCAGGAGAGGGCCTGAGCTCAGGGGCGGGCTCTATGCCACCGGGCTCCCCCATCGCACGCCTGCACCTGGCACTCACCACCCCTAGCAGGTATGGGGCCAGGAAAGAGCAAGGACTTTAGAGCCCAGTCAGGGACCGGAACCCAGGTCTGCCATTCCACCTGTGGCCTGGATGGAGTTATTTCACTGCATGAGTCAGGTTGGGGACAACAAACTCCTGGGCTATGTGTGGTGACTGTAGAGAAGACCAGACCCTGCCTGGTCCACTCTGGGCCAAGGTGGATGTTCCCTGATGCCCTCCTTCTAGTTCCTCCTGTCCACGAAGCCCTCCAAGAGATGTCTGTCAAGAAGCCAAGCTAATCCTGTCCCTCCTTGTTCAAGAGCCCAAGGTGGCTCCTTAATGCCCATGCCCAGTTCCCCTTCCTGGCAGTAATGGCCAGTAAAACCCCAGCTAACTTGCACGGAGCACAGTGCTGGGCCAGGCCAAGCTCTCATTTCCATAGAATTGGCCCAGCAGCCCCTCATGAGGCAGGTGGGAAAGGGGCAGAGACTTGCCCAGAGTCACAGAGGAAGGCCCTAGCAGAACCAGGCCAGGAACCTCAGCTCTTTCCTCTGCCCCTGAGAAAGGGTTAGTGAGGAGGGGCCTGGAGAGTCCAAGGAGCCAGCATTTAAATGCAGGCCAGGGCAGGCTGGGGAGGGGCAGGGGGCAGAGTCCCCCAGCCAGGGGCCTATCCACACCTCAGCCCAGCCCCTGTGCATACATGGAACGCTGTACCCCACGAAGGGCCTGGCTCCGCCCAGCCATTGCCCCCTTGCTTTCCCAGGGCACCTGGCATGGCCCTGCCCTCAAGGAAGTGAGACCAGGAAAGTCCTGGCACCCTAGGGCTAGGTCAGTGGTGCTGGGACTGACTTGTAAATCGTAGTGTCCTGGTTGTCCAGAGTGGACAAATAGATGTCGATGAAGGGCAGGCTAGTGCCAAAATCATCCAAGACCATGGGCTCAGTGTGCTTCAGGGTGTGCTTGAAGTCCTCCATCAGCTCACCAAAACTTTTGTAGTCATTTGCCTAGAGAGGGAGGCATAGAGAGATCAATGACAAGGAGGAGGTGACTCTCAAGATGTACAGAAACCTGGGGACCCTCCACAAGGGGCCCAGGCGGAGGGCTGACCCTGGCCCTGTCTGAACTTGGACTCCCTGACCGAGGGAGCCTCCTGAGCTACCATCACTGAGAACAGGGGACACAGAAAGGGACCAGTGAGAGAGCCTGAGTGGGGTTCAGCATGGCCTCACCTGCCCTGAACTAACCTTCAACACAGTCAAGAAAGGCAGATGTCTCTGCTTCAGAGCAGAGGCTGAGGAGGGAGGTGCTGACCACGTGGGGAGAGAGGGGCAGAGTCCGGCTCAGGACCTGGCAGAGCACCAGGGCTCCATGTAGGGAGCTCAGAGCACTTGGGCTGAAAAGAGAAGACGCCCAGCCCTTTACAGCTGTATCATGCCTGACAAAATCTCCAGCCTGTTGTGCTCATTCTTGTTCAGTTTAGAAAACCAGGTTAGGAACACCTGTCAGGGCCTCCATGGCCTCGCCCATGCAAAGGACGAGGCTGTGCCTGCCTGGCGCCCAGTGAGGCCTCGGTAACAAGAGCACTCCAGGCCAAGGCCCAGCAGAGCAGCTCTGCCGGGGAAGGAGGGGGAGACTATTGTAACCACAGCACTCCACATTCACAGGTCCAGAGAAATACTAACGTACAGGAAATAAAGCTTGATTCTGGAAAATACAGGAGGTATTACCTGCCTCACCTAAGGCCGCAGATGCCTGAGGCCACCTTCCACTCCTATTTTTTGGCCATTGCTTCAGCCCTGACTGTCCATGCACGTGTTGTCCACCTGCCTGTGGAGATTACCTACCTGTGTCTGCATCAGCCTGCTGACTTCCTCCTGCTGCCGCTTCGCGATCACCTGCTTCTCTTTCATGAGCGTCATGTGTCTCTCCAGCATCAGCTCCCGCTCAAACTTTTTGATGGAGTTCTGGAGAGTGGGGTGACGAGAGAAAGTGAGGGCTCCCACGGCATACCACCACCAACCCCCGCCCCCGTTTTTCTTCTTCCCTAGCCTTGCACTGCTGCTCAGACCCCTTAGCAGGAGGAACCCTCCATACAGGGCCAGCCCCCAACTCAAGCTGCCAATGCAGCTGCAGTGACTTCCCACTCTCCTGCCCACCTGGCCACCTCCCCTCCACTTTAGGAGAGAGAGAGTTCAGGTCCTCCCTGGAGACTTGGCCCACAGCCCCGCCCGTCACCCCAAAGCCGACCCCCAATCCTATGCATGCAGCCTCACCTCGGTGTGGATGATCATCACACCCACGAACATGCTGAGGAAGACGAAGGAGCCAAGCAAGATGAAGATGATGGTGAATGCTCGGCTCAGAAAAAAATTCCTGCTGTCCAGCTGCTGCTGCAGGTCTGTCCAGCCATCAACCTGCTCGGGCAGGGGAAGGCATGACAAGTGTCAAGGCCCAGTGGTGTAAGCCTCCTGCTAACCAACCTTAGGGGAGCCCTCACCCCACTAGATGGAGGTTGTCACTTCCTGCATATCAGCCCTTAGCACACACCCCCAATCCACTGAGTCCAGTGCAGACAGGTGGCCTGGTGGTACAGGGCACCACTGGGTGGGGGCACTTCTGGCCAAGGTGCCCTGGGGGTCTGCTCCAAAAAGCTTCCCATCCTTCCCAAAAGACATGGTCTCTCTGCCAAGGCCTTCTTCGGATAGACTCCAGTCTTTCCAGAGCTCAACAGAGTCCAGACTTCTAGACTTGGGTGGATTGTGACAGTCTGTTCCAAAAAGGCTATGTGACATGGGTTTCACTTCTAAATTAAACTTAATCCAAATGAATCATCTTTTGAGAACTCTGAAATTTTTACAACCCTGTGAGACAAATGGGAATGCTCTAGGGAGTCACAAGATTAGAGACAGAGAGGGACCCCTGGTCAGGGTACTAGCTTCTGCCTCAGCTTCCCCAGCCCAGAAAAGTGTCCAAACATGGGGAAGGCCCCACGGGAAGCCCAGAATGTCCACACACTCACACCAGCTGACAGTCTCTTCTCAAGGCCCCTTCCCCCACCACTGTTCTCAAACACCGTACCGTCGCCAAGCTGAAGAGGGTAAAGAAGGCCACAGCCAGGTTCCCCCAGTTTTCCTGGTCACCCTTATCTGGAGCTCCAAACAGGCAGAAGCCCAGGATAGCGAAGATGTACATCAGGATGAAGAACAGGATGAGCACGGAGGCCACAGTGTAGAATGTCTGCCCAATGGCGGTGATGAGCGTCTACAAGACAGAGGCACAGGACTAGGCAAGGCTGCAGGCGGGGGTGGGACTCAGGGGCAGAGGTCCAGTCTGCCCAGACCACAGCTGTGCCCAGCATCCAGTGCCCTATCTGCATGTGGTAGATACTCCACCAATGGTTGGATGGAGAGATGGAGGGGTAAAGGGAGGGAGGGAGGGGACAGGAGTGGAGGAGGGAGAGGAGCTCTGCCAAGATTGAGGGCTGAACCAATGCCTGGCCTCCACTCTCTGTCATCTATGGGCAGATCGTGTGCTGTCTCAGGTCTGGGTAGTCTCCCCATCAGCCACTTGAACCCCTGCCTGGTTTCATGGTCATCCCAAGGTGTCCTGCTTCTCCCTGAGGGCCAGCCCTGAATGTTCTCTCAGGCCCAGGAAGAAGAGGGAGCCACTCGGGTAGTGGGAATAAAGAGGGCTGAGAGGAAGGTGGCTTCCCATCCTTTCTGGGCCCCATTTCCCAGGCAAGTCCCTGTCTTGTGAACTTGGTCTCACCTCCCACTACATTGTCCCCTGCTGGGAAGCACCGTGCATAGCTCCTCATCAATCATTCTTGAGTGATGACCCAGTGTCTTGCATGTAGTAGGTGCTCAATACATGTTCACCTACATAGACGCTGTCACAGACGTCATTTCAAGATAGGTAGGTGTTATCATTCTTCCCACGCCAAGATGAGGGGTCAGAGGCTCAGAGAAGAAAAGGGCTTGGCCAGGGTCACACTCCAATAAAATGGCAGAACATGGGCCCAACTCTCAAGACCTTTGCCTTATGCCACCACCTTCACTCCAAGGCCTCCCCAGAGGACCCTCTCTTGCCTGAAGACATCACTCCTCAGTGGCCCTCTCGAAGGAATCTGCCTATCCCCCATGACCTGATGCAGGAGGCCACCCTCTGCCCTATCCTCGGAGCCTCCGCCTCCGTGGACAAAGCCCCTGCTTCTGAGCAGGGCAAACCTTCCAGCTTCCCTCTCCACCTCGTGTCTCAAAATCTCTCCCCCAGGCTCCACCCCATCCTGCTGCCATCCTGGGGCCTTCAGAATCTCTGTGGATACCCACCATCTGCCAGGTCTCCTCGTCGCTTGACTTCCTCATCTCCAGCGACCCTTGCACCACTTTAGACCTTCCTCCCTTGGTGCCCCTGACCTGGCACTTAGCTCCCAGTTTTCTCTCCTGACCACCCACCTTACTCTTGAACCTACACTTCGACTCCAATGCCCAGCACCTTCAATACTCCCATCCCCACTTCTAGGTCACATTACTGGGTCTGTCTCTAGCCTACAAGCCAGGGGAGCCAGGCTCAGGTTTCCAAAGGAAGGGCGTCCTGACATGATGTGCACTTTAGAGATTCCCCCAGCTGCTGGAACATTTCTGTTCCAAAACGCTCAGTAGTGTGGGAAGTCATTGCAGGAATCCAGGTAAAGGTGGATGGATGGTGATGGAGAAAAAATGATGACTATGGGGATGGAAACAGTCAATAACTATTTAGGAGGCCATACAACAGGACTTTGGGTGAGAGGAAACAAAGCTAACATTCAAATTTATTACTTGGAAGTTGAATAGGGTTGAAGGGGTGCCTTTCAGCAGAAGATAAAGTAGAGGAGGAGGCGCTAAGGTTTGTGATCTGAGAGTGGGGATGGGGAAGAGTGATGACTTCTACTTTAGACACATTGAGTTTGAGGAGCATGTAAGATGCTCAGGAGGCAGTTGGGTCTGAAGGTCAAAGAGAGAGATGTGGGCAGGTAAAGACTCCTGAAAAGTGGAAAAGATCACCCAAAAAGAATATACAAAGAGGAGAACTCAGGACATAGTCCTTAGAAAACAACACTTAGGAGCCAAGCGAAGAAAATATGTACCCGAAAAGTCATACCCAAGCGGCAGGAGGAAAACCAAGAGAAGGCAAGGGACAAGGATGCCAAGGGAAATGGCCAGTGGACTTGGCGACAAGGAGGTTGTTGATAACCTCGGAGAGACTAGTTACTTCAAGTAGAGGGAAGAAACCAGGGCATTTATGCCAGATAAGGAAGCGGGGTCTGGGTGTATAGACACCTCTTCCCAAAAGCTTCACCACGAGGAGGAGGGCTGGACTACATTGTTTGGGAGGGAACACATACACCTGTGTGACTATGTGAGGGCAGGGAATGAATGACTGGGGCCCTGTGGCAGGGGGAGCCCTTTAACATTCTCCTCTTCTCCACCTAGGACTGGGGTCCCTGAGTGGCAGGCCTAGGCCCTGGACAGACACACAGGCTAGGCTGGAAGCGATTTCTCAGCCAAACAGGCTAACACACCCTAACTGGTCAAGTTGGTCCAAACCGGCCCCTTCCTGGAGAAGCGTGGACACTGGGTGCCGAGCCAGGGCAAACATCCTGCACAGGTGGAATGCTACGGGAATGCTTGGGTCAGCTCTGAGGTTTGTTCTGAAACCTTCTGAACCAAAGAAAGGCTGGTCACCCCTTCTCCGCAGGAGCAGCACTGCCAGAGCCGCCTGAACCAAGTAATGAGACTGTTCCCATCAGCAGAAGCAGCAGATTTGTAGCTGTTTGGGGAAAGCAGGCTACCGGAAAGCTGGAGCCCCTGGGCATATAGTTTGAAGAGTCTGTGCCGTGAGAAGAGGGTCCACCTTGCAGCACGGGAGAGAGGGCGAGTCCAGGTGGCCTCTGGAGCCAGACACACCTTTCCAGTCTCTGGCATCACCTGCTGAGCGACCTGGGGCCTCAATTTCTTTATCGATAAAATGGGGCTAATAATAACCTTTCCTACAATTGTTTTAAGATGAACTGAGATCATCTCAGCAATGATCAACCTGCTATATAGTAGGACTCAATGACTGGATGCTAGGAGCACAATTATTATTTCACCAGGGGCTGGTGGGCAGACAGACCCTGTCACCTGCCCTCCCGGAAGCACACACTCCTGGGTTACTCACCCGGATGCCCCGGCTATAGGTGATGAGCTTGAGGATGCGCAGAGACTGCATGCCATTAGCGATCTTGTGGTGAGGGTAGTGCTTGCCCTTGATCTTGAGGAGAATGTAGGGGAATGAGATGACGATGATCATCATCAAGTCTAGCAGCTTGTAGCCGTCCTTCCAGAAGCCAATGGGGTCCGCGTAGAGATTCATGTAGAACTCGGCGCTGTATATGGCCACAAATAAGACCTCTGTGATCTGCAGAGGCGGCAAGGTTTGGGGGATCAGACCTATAGTCTGGCCCTCTCCTTGCTTGGACCACCCAACCAGGTGTGTGCCGGCTGGGGGTAGGGGCTCTTAGGTCACCCACTTGAGAGAGATCGATCCAGGCAGAGTCCCCGACACACAGTACACACACAATGTGCCTGATTCCCTTCTCCTTCTGTGTCTTCCCTGCCCTCCCCGCCCCCCGCCCCCAGTCTGAAGCCTGGTGCTAGGTTTGACCCAGGATACTTGGGAAGGACTGACTGACCCACAGGCTGAATGACTGGATAGGCCCCAGGATGAGGCAACACAACATGATAAGTACCTGAACGCAAGGTTTCCCAACGAAAAGGTCTCAAGAGTCTTCTGGCCAAGCTGAATATCCAAACTTCCGTATATAGGTGAAAGGCACATCTACTCATATTTATTCCACTTAATCACATACTTACACACCAGTTAACTAATGTTTCTAAAGAATATTCTGCCTTCTTTCCATGTTTATACTTTATGAAATAATCTTATTCAAGTTCTTATGCATCTACAATTCCAGTGGCTTTATATTTACTAAAAGGCACATCTTTCTTACTTTCTTTTTTTTTCTTTTTTTCTTTTTTTCTTTCTTTCTTTCTTTCTTTCTTTCTTTCTTATCTTTTGCATATCTCAACTTTTATTTTTTATTTTTTTTAAATAATTCTTTATTGTTAAAACTATTACATATGTCCCCCCTTTTCCCCCATTAACCTCCTTCAGCCTGCCCCCGCCCCCTCCCCTCTACCCTGGCCTTCAGCACCCTATTATTTGTGTCCATGGGTTATGCATATATGCATACAAGGTTTTTGGTTGATTACCTCCCACCCTCCCCCGAATTACCTCTAAGATTCCACACTCTGTTCCATGCTTTGAGTCTCTGGATCCACTCTGTTCATCAGTTTATTTTGTTACTTAGATTCCACATATGAGTGCGATCATGTGATACTTATCTTTCTCTGACTGACTTATTTCACTTAGCATGATACTCTCCAGGTCCCTCCATGCTGTCTCAAAGGCTAAGAGATTCTTCTTTTTTACTGCTGCATAGTATTCCATGGTATAAATGTACCACAGCTTTTCTATCCACTTATCTACTGATGGGCACTAGGGCTGTTTCCAGATCTTAGCTATTGTAAAATGTACTGCTATGAACATAGGGATGCATACATTCTTTCTGATTGGTACTTCGGGTTTCTTAGGATATATTCCTAGAAGAGGGATCACTGGGTCAAATGGCAGATCCACATTTAATTTTTTAAGGAAATTCCATACTATTTTCCATAATGGCTGCACCAGTCTGCATTCCCACCACCAGCAGTGTACTAGGGTTCCCTTTTCTCCACATCCTCATCAGCACTTGTCATTTGTTAGTTTGTTAATGGTAGCCATTCTAACAGGTGTTGAGATGGTACCTCATTGTCGTTTTGATTTGCATCTCTTGGATGATTAGGGACTTTGAGCATTTTTTCATATGTCTCTTGGCCATCTGTATGTCCTTTTTGGAGAAGTGTCTGTTTAGGTCCTTTGCCCATTTTTTAGTTGGATTGTTTGTCTTCATTTTGTTAAGTTGTATGAGTTCCTTATATATTTTGGATATTAATCCTTTATCAGATGTATCATTGCCAAATATGTTCTCCCATACAGCGGGCTCTCTTTTCATTTTGTTGATAGTTTCTTTTGCTGTGCTATATTTACTAAAAGCCACATTTTTATTTTTTTAATTGACTTGAGAGAGAGAGGAAGAGAGAGAAAAAGAGATGCATCAATGTGAGAGAGAAACATCGACTAGCTGCCTCCTGTATGTTCCCCGACTGGGGATAGAACCCACAACCTAGGTATGTGCCCTGACCAGGAATCAAACCTGCAATCTTTTGGCATATGGGACAACGCTCCAACCAACCAAGCCATCTGGCCAGGGACCAAAAGGTACTTTTTGAAGTCATCTAAGTTTTTACCTATCATCAATGCATTCATTCATTCATTGAAGAAGCTTTGATAGAGCATCTATCATGTGCCAAGCAAGCACCATTCAGGCACTAGAAAATGCAACAATGAATAAGACAGAAAATGTCTAGCTCCCAGGAAGCTTACAGTCTAGTAGTGAAGACAGAAATAAATGCTTAAACAAATTCATCCTATATAATAAAGAGGTAATATGCAAATTGACCCTCACGCCCTTACAAGATGGCTGCCTACAACCAGGTCGGCAGGGGAGTTAGTGAGGGACGACCAAATGACTGAACAAGCAGGCTGCGTGGGGTGACCAGGCCAGCAGGGGGGTTAGTGAGGGATGACTAAATGACTGAACAGCAGGCTGTGTGGGGCGACCAGGCCAGTGGGGGGGGGCATGAGGGGTG